ATAATATAAGTAGACCCTACGATTCCATTGACCTTTACTCAAAAGGCAGAAGTGGACCACAGTTTCGCCCTCGCCCAGTTCCTATCAACAGCCCCCGCCGGACTCGAACTATGACACTGCAGAGTGTAATCTCGACCCGGTGACCACGAGTGCCATTGGGTCACAGGCCAGATGTGAATTAAAAGCAAGGCAAGACGTTTTCCCACATCGCATTCTGAAACTAAGGTATATTTGCTCTGGCATTCGACTAGGCTACTTATTTTTCGTTTTATTATAAGTAGACTTTTGAGACTACCAGTACATCATGCATATAAAATGTATTAATTCTATTTTTGTTTGGGGTAATAGGGCGACTGATTGTTGCATTTTCCCACACTCATGTGAATCTTAAATCTGAAGAGAACGCTGGCTACTCGAGAGCCTACTTATAAACAGAAACAAATGAGTTGGAATTGCACTTCATTCTTGATGGGACGACACCTTTGGGATGCACGAAAAAATAAAGTTGGCCAATTAGAACGAGTTAGAATGGTGCAAAATTCGAGTTAGTCTAAATTATAAAATGAAACCAAGCTAACATCCAGTTGGTAGTGCTCGAGATCACCTTGCCAGCGGCAAAGAAGCATCAGTTATCTTTGACTTTTATGTACCTGTCGAGATGTTTGTTACGACATTCTGTTTTGTGTCTACAGTAAAGTCCATTTGGTCCATTGGTAAATATGGACAGAGAGAAGAATAGTGATAAAGTGAAAATTGTGGGCGAAAATATAAGAAGCAATTCTGAAATTTGCAGAAATGTTGGAATGCATGAGTCAACGACACGGCACGGCATATAAACTAAGGCTCGCAGATGAAATAGGGCAAAGGGTAAGATGGAATCTACTCGATGCCGATTGAAAGTCACCTTTACGAGTGTGAGAATGTAAAGGTAATATTTATAGCAGAAAAACACGTCTTTATTGCAGCCGATGGACAAGGGGAAAATCGCAACGTTTCAAGCATATTACTGATGATACCGCTGTTTAGACCATATCGCTTTGCCCATAATAAACCTTTGGTTCTTGATACTTTTTGCTCATCCCAGCTACTATATTTGATTGAGCAGCGGAGAAAAATGGTGCAAACCTTGATTTGTTATTAAGTTTTTTTGATGGCATCAAACCAATTACATAATTTCCAACGTTACACTGCCATCGGCTTCCACAGTGCAAGCAAGTGGACCAGTCGAAATCGTCAAAACACGAATAGTAATGTAGAATATTCTCAGCTTTACAATTCTGTTTGCCGGTGCTGGAAGAAGGCAATACATGCAGAGTTCAAGCAAGTTGCGAAGATAAGGTCAATCCAATTGAATGTGCAGATGGACTCGAAAGCGTATGACGGCATAACGCAACGCAATCCAGCCAGTTTAATGGGGGAACTCATGGGAAAATTGTTTTTTTTTTCACCTTTTTCGCTCACTACTTGAATTCTGAGTTTTGGCAGCCAAACTGAACCTGACTCTTTGGTTATGTCAGACGGAACACTTTCCTGGCTTAGATGAAGACAATCAATTTGTGTTGTCAAGCTTTTTGGTCCGGTAGGATGGAGGACTTCCCAACTGACGTAAGAAGCAAGAACCAATCTTTGCTTACTCAAAACTTTCCGAGAAGGACCATATAGCAGGTTTCCTATAGAAGCGGTTATGGCATTCATTCATGCTTCTGGTTGATACGACTTATTGCCCCTCTTTAAACCGCTAAAGCTGTGGAGTTAGGTTGTTTTAAATACGAAGAATAGTCGGCTTTATGGGAATATTTTGGGATTTCATATTAAAACGAAGGATGACTAGATTCATTAGCTTATCTCATCGGAGGAAGGTGATGGCTTCCTGTTGTACTGCAGCCAAACATTTGCGTAACAACAGAAATCAGTCAACGTCTTTCTGTGAAATAAGCCAACCAATCTCCCCATCATTCATTTTCATACGAAATCAAGTCTCCACAACAATATTAGCTTATATATGGAATGCATTTACTCTGTTTATGTTACGGAGATGTGGGACTGGTAGTTGAATTTTCCCACAACAATATGAGTATTTCACCTTGCTTTGCTTCTCAAAGGCCATTCTCATCCGCACTGGAATGGAGTACAGTTCTTACCTAGCCCAGGTCTCATCAACACCCTCGGCGGGACTCGAACCCGGATTATGATAATGGAGGGTATAGCCCCGACACGTGAACCACCATGCCATACGGCTCTTGGGTCGCTGGAGCAAAGTTGTATCTGCCATTGCAATCGACTACATCACATATTCATTGTTTTAATTAGGTTTTCACACTAACAGTAGATCACACACATATATATAATAATATATAATAATATAATATATTATAATAATTATATATATATATATATATAATTATTATATAAATACGATGAAAAAAACAATAGATAAGTAATCTAATCTATTTTCATAGTAAATACAACTTTAGCCCATCTAAAATCCCACCAGAGAAATAGGATTTGGGTAACTCCTGCTCTTTGACTCAAGGGCAATCTTGACAGTCTGGCCTAGTGGTTGACCGGGTTCGAGTCCCGCAGGGGATGCCGAGGAGACTGAGGCGAGATTGAAACTGCAATCCACCCCTGGTTGGATGAGAATACCATTTGTCAAGGAAGGTTGTGTGAAATAGAATGGAGACATGCGGCCTACCCATCTGATCTTGGGAAAATTCAACTACCGACCTTCACCGCCTTAATTGAAATAGAGCAAACACAGTTCATATACATGATCTATTGCTAGTCTCGAAACCATTTCATAAACAAATAGTGCTCCAACAACATTTACTCAGTTTCATTTACTCAAACGATTTGCAGTAGATGTACCATAGTTTCAATGGGGATCGTTGTAAAACTGTGATCCTGCTACTTGTCGTCGTTTTACAGCATTCAAGGATGAGTCTGTGAATTTTCTAGACTTGTTAGCTTGAATATGGTTGTAAGGGTGATGCTACTGTAAGCCATAAGACGGACAACGTTCAGCACCCTTTCACAGCGAAAATAAAAATGTTCACGTAAAGCTATTTGACATTTGGTGAAGAAGCATCAGCCGTCGCCTTCCGGTGGGACCGACCTTCGAATCTCTTCACTCAAAATGGAGGTAAGGAGAATAATTATGAAACAAGGGAGTCCTCGAAAATCAAATTCTATTCGCGTAAGACATGGATTTTGTTGTTGTTGAGTGGTCTTCGAGACTACCAGCAAATCACATACTTGAGTTGTATTTACCAGATTTCGTTTAAGGTGAGGAGGGACTGGTAGTTGATTTTTCCCACAATCCTATGAGTAGAGCCGATAGTTTGCGTTGAATTTTACATATCCTTGCTATCCTAAAAGGTGTTCTCATCTCGGATGACCTCACAAGGTCGAAACTGCAGTCCACCCCAGCCTGGATGAGAACACTTTTGAAGAAGGCAAAGCTATGTGAAATTCAATGGAAAACATCAGCTCCACTCATACAATTGTATGAACATTCAACAACCAGTCCTTCGTCACCTTAAACGAACTATGGTGAACACGTCGCATAAGACATGGAATGTCGAGGCCGAGAGGGATCAACTTATGGAAGTTCGGATCAGGAAGCTGTGGAGAACGATGCAAAATTGGTGATCCATGGGGACACAAATCTCGAGGATATCGGCGCAATCAAGTATACAACCCGAAATACTACCGCTACTCGTAAATTTGACGCTGTCCTCTACGGAGCCGACAAATCGGCCGGAAGATTGCTCAATCAATTGTGCGATGCGGAATGAATATAGACCATTATTGTCATAGAACGCAATTCCAGTTTGGTTCTTTGCATTTTCAACGAAATCCCAACTAAACCGGGAAAATGAATCCAAACCAAGCATATTCAACGAGAGTAGATTGCCGCCAAGCCAAAGGCGCCACGATATAATTGGCTTTCTGATCTCCTTTCCCATCCTCTGACTCACCAAGTGGATCCTTCTGCATGAATCGCTGTTCTCTGTTCACTGTACCGTTTGTAGCTCAACTAACTCTAGGCACCTCTTCTTCACACTCTTTTCTCAGCGCTGCTACCTCGATTTCGGCTCGCTGACGTACGACAGTACTCAGCTGGAATTGGGCTGGATGAAGCAGAAGAATTCGTCCACTTTGATGCCCTACCTGGACTTCTCGGACTATGTACGCAGCAACGAGTGGCACACGAACGGAGAAGAGGACATGCGCCACAACATCGTGGACCCGAAAAAGAAGACTCAGGTACCTGAACACATCATTTGACATTTACAAGAGTTATTTGCTCAACTTGCCTCTAGACACATTCGTTACGAGGCTTTCTAGCAAAGTGTAAGGTTGCGCATTATTGAATCTTTCCAATTTGGCAGAGTTAGTGGGACATGAACTCATAAAATGTATGACATTTTAATCACTACTTTTGATTCTTACTCTCTTTCATCCATAAACTGATTCATGCTCGTCAATGCCATCTTCACTATTTCGAGAGCCAAAAGGTAGAACTGATTCGACTTCTTAAGCGAGTACTATCTTGTGACAAAAGAATGTGCTCTGAAGGTTGCTAGGAGATCGGCAGGTGGGCTTAACTACATGATTGTAGTGAAGATGCATTCTGACTGTTGCAGTGACTAAGGGATGAACAAAAGGGGCGAAATAAGAACTGGAAATGTGAGTAGGTGCTGGATTTGTGTGGCCAAGCGTATGCAACTTATGACAACAAGTGAATCTGGTTCTCGAAGAGTCCCTTCATAAAACTGTGATTTTATAATTGTTGAGCTTACTC